GAAGAACGTGCAAATGAAATGTTGGCACGTCAAGAAGCTGAAAAGAAATATTATGAAATTTTACAGGAAGAAGAACATTTAAAAGTGGAAATAAATAATGTTAAGATTGAAAATGAAAAAATTCAGAATCAACTTGAAGAAAAAGTAAAGGGCATGGAAGAATGTCTTCACAATCAGGAACAACAGAGTAGACAGGCAATAGATCAACAGAGGATTTTACACGAAAGGATGCTTAATCAAGTTAGAGAAGATTGCCAGTCGAGAATAAATAATTTGCAAGGTCAACTCAATCGTGCTCTCGAAAGAAAACCTGGCTTTTGGGATTCAATGGCAGGTGTTGCTGGAGGTATTGCTGGAGGTCTTCTTGGAGGAGTTGGAGGTCTTATTGGAGGACTATTTAGAGGCTTATTTTGATAGTTTCAATCTCTTATTCTACACTTTGATCTATTTTATTTTGCGAATGTTCTCTCTTTTTATAAATTGCTTAACGAACTTAATAAAAGATTATTTTGGAAAACTTTTTGTAAAATATTGTTTAACAGTTTTATATATCTACAGTATTCAATGAATTTTGATTTTTAAAATTTTTTAAAAATAAATTGAATTTAAAGGCAATGCTTAAAAGAACTATTGACGAAATATTTTATTGAGTTAATATACACCGCCTGTGTGCGATACTCTCTTTAATTGCTTACCAACTAGATTATACAACAAATATTAAAAGATTTTATTTAATTTTTCCAGTAATTTGTAAAAAAAAAAATTGCCATGTATAGAAACGTTTTTGCAATAAAAACATAAAAATCTTTAATTTGCGTACCACATACTAATTAATTAGCTAATAATACTTTATTTTTTTATTTTTTTATATTTGATTTATTTATTTATTTAGGGATTTATAATTTTTGGCTGACCCATTTTGTTATATACGGATATGCGATGTAAACAATAGGTTAGACCGTGCAATTTATTCATTTTTGTGCAGAGGTCTACAGTAAAGTTTCCTTGCCATTCTAGGAAAGGAAATATTCATCCTTTTTTTTACAAAAAGATTGTGCAATTACTAGGCTTTTTATTAGTCTTTTACCTAGATTTACTAATATCTTTCTACGTTTTTTTGTTAGTCGGATTTTTTGCTTGAAGATGAATCAAGATATAATTTGGAAATATTAAATGGAATATAAACCTGCGCGTCGAATGGATATTTAATTACTCCCACACACCTAATATTAGTAATCTTGAACTGTTATTCACTCTTAAATAAACTAATAATTATTTTAATGATTAATACAACCATTTCTATTTAGTATTAAGATTAGTTATACGCATTTGAAGTATAAAGAGCTACTTCAGATAAATGGCTACTTTAAATATCTACTCCAAATGTTTGAAGTAATCACCCAATCTGAGGTGGATACTTTAGGTATCTGAAGTGGCTTATTTAAATATCTAAAGTATCTATCAACCTTAGATATCTAAAGTCAAAATTTTCAACCGATTAGTTGATAAATTAGTTTATTCAACTACTTAATAAAAAATCAATCCACCAAGTCTCTTACCTCTATATGAATCTAATAACGTTTTCAAATCTGATGATCTCTTAATACTGATACAAAATCTGTCCACCATGCATATCGGTTTGGGAAGGTTTGGCAGTATTTAAATTCGTGAAGTAATTTATTCGATAAAATCTTTGCAGAAACCTTTGATTTTGCTAAATATATTTACTATATAATAAGAATATAATCAAAATATAATTAAAATATAATTAAAATATAATTAAAATATTTTTATTCTTTTAAGTTACTTTTAACAATC